ACCCAAGATAAAGCAAGACCTATATAACAATAAATGTAACTTTTGTATCTGATAAGGTCAGTCAAATTCCCTCAGGATTTATCCTGAGATCCTGTACCACAGTTTGTAGTTCCTCTGTCAGTGTCAGTCATGTGGATGAGTCACAGTCATTGCTTAACCAATTTGCTCTCTGTGAAAGCCTGAGAGAATGTTTTCTCTCCATGTGACTCTCCTTACGCACACTTTATATCATCGATCACTTTCCTCTGTGGCTCAATAATCTGCTTTATCAGAAAATTTGGGGCACTACTGAGTTACATGACGTTACAGTACAAGTTCTCCTATGTCCTGAGTCTTCACTGACCTTGAAAGACTAGAGCCAAAATGTTGGCTGTCCTTACAGCCCTTCTTTTTCTCTAATTTTTGGTCTGCAAACTTAGGTTGTGAACCCTCCAGAAGAGAAGCTTATTATTATTACCCTACAACAAAGACAGTTGAGCTTAACCTCACTGTCTGTCTGAATATCAAACATCTTAGACATAACATGGAACAGGTATTTTCCATCAAGAATTGATATGTTAACCTTTAAGTCCCTACAGAATATGAAGAAGAAAATTTTAAAAATTAAACAATATTTTAAAAAATTGGAATTAACAATTACATATTTGTATACAGAAGTTTAGAAATCTAACCCTACACAACATTGTAGCAAGTCTTGTGACATTTTTTTTTCTTGTCTCTTGTTTGTATTTATTACCCTTTTTTTAAACAAACATTGACTTGAGAGACAGTATAGCAGTAATTGGTATGTCATGACAAGCAGTACCTATTTAGAAGACCAGAATAACAGGCATTCCAAGCATGACCCTACTATTATACATTGCTATCTTCAGTGCAGTTGCTTAGTTCACAGGTATCAACATATATAATTAGTGAGGGTGAGAATCCTACCAATTAACTGCTAGTTTTGAAAACCTACTGAAGATTCTCAAGATCACTGCTTTTATACTTCAATTTTTTAAAAAAGCATTTTAACAGTATTAGGGCTTAAGCATAGATGTCTCCCCAAAGTCTCCAGGCAGAGATCACAGGTACATGATAGTGCATAAAAGGAGTGTGACAACTGTAATAGTTGTAGCCTAAATAGAACACATGGGGAAAGGGAGGCTTGCTGCTGCCATTTTTTTTTCCTACCTACCTCGCCATGGACTGCTTCCCCTCCTTCATGCCCCTCTACCTTGTTGCCCTGCCTTCAAACCAGGTGACTACGGACGAAACTTCTACAAACTGTGAGTTAAAATGACTCTTTCTTCCTTTAGCTTGTGGGGTTTAATATTTTGTCCCAGTAACAAGAAAGTACCTATGACAAACTAAACGCAGACTAAAAGAACACAAACGAAAGAGCATGATAAGCACTTAGAAAATAAAATGAACAAAATGGGTCAAGATGTCCAACATGACTTTCAGTAACTTGAGTAACTACATGATCTGTGTTTCTTCTGAGATGTAGAAACACAAAATGGGTAAGAAAAAGGATGAGTCTAAGAATCTTAAATGTTTATAAGCTGAGTTCTAGGGCTTCAGGACTCTCAGAGATTAAGAGACTCGGAAAGTCTGGATTTGAGGAATTAGTGCCTAACTATTAAAACTAGATAAATATACTGAGGTATTGGGGAAGTATTACTCAACTTTGGTGGTGTACGGGAGGGGGCATAAAATTGGCATTTGACGGATTAATTCTTCATTATGTGGCAATGGATATTCCTGGCCCTCTGGACTGGAAATAAAAAAGAAGAATATTTCCTTTACATGAGTAGTACTTGAAGAGTAAGAAACATGACAGGTCAAGGACAAAACCTGAGGAATATCATCATGTGATCTGCAACCAAGGATAGTGAGAAAGGCCACGAGGGCATGAGAATCGTATCAGAGCAGTCAGATGATACTGCGTGAGCAAGACTGCAAGGAAAAATCAACGCGGGTAAAGTGTTCATTTTCTAAGGGTCAGTTTAATGTCCTTATCCATTAAGTTATCACTATAGTTTCAGAGAAGTATTACAAAGAATCCAAATCATGGGCTGGAGAGATGGCTCAGTGGTCTAAAGCAGCTACTTGGAACAAGCTTGGCAAAGCACAAGGACCGCGGTTCGATCCTTCAGCACCACATGCCAGCCAGCCTCGCCCCCTGGTGGGCTGAGCTGGCCACACACACATAACACAATAAATAAATGTAATAAATAAATAAATAATTTAAAAAAAAAAAGAGTTGTAGCTTTAAAAAAAAAAAAACCAAAAACAAAAAAACAAAGAATCCAAATCATGATGAATACAGGATTGAATTAAAGGTGAGGGAAGGTCAAAGAGGTTGAAAAGGGGGAGTAATAATCAAAAGGAAGAACACCCCATCCTTTGAGAAAAGAGGTAAGAGAGGAAGTCTATGTAAAGACATGAGCCTTTGTGGAATTGATGAGGAGGAGATATTTCATGAATTTCCCACCAAAAAGCTGCAAAACATATTAACATTGCAAGGCAAAACCACAACTGGAGAAGGGATGTTTGTGTTTGGCAGTTCTGAAAAAGCCACTGGGAGGAACAAAATTAATCTGACTAAATTAAAATATAAAGGCTAATATAGTTAAATATAAAATACTCAATAGTGAAAAATCATGAATTTTTAGGGGAAGCAATGTTACAGCTGCATGATTCTCCCAGTTAATTCTAGGATGATTCTCCCAGTTAATCACCAGCCCTGTGGTGACTGGTGATTTTTAGAGCAAATAAAAATCCACCCTATTTTGACAATAGAGTAGAAGGTACTAGTAAAAAGTTCAAGAGCTCAATTAGAATATTGTTTAGGAAAAATAAAAATAAAGAAGTTGATAAAGTGGTAGAAAATTAAGTGGAGATACAGGAAGCATTTCAGAGGTAAAAATTCCCCAGTGATGATCAAGTTCAGCATGTGCCTCTAAAGGAAATCAGAATTTGTAAAAGTTAAAGTAGATGACTAGAAAATAAGATGATTTCACAAAAGAATAATTCTGAATCATGTGCTAGGTTTCTAATAAATGGAGGGGACTGATTTATAAGCCATTAAATAATACTGATACTGAGAGTAGAGGATAAGAAAGAAAATGAAATCTCAAAGAAGGGACTTTTTTAAATTGATAAAGTACAGATTAGCATGTGCTATTTCAATATATATAAATATTATCTATTATCATCAAGGTAAACACATCTATTTCCTCTGGCCTAGGTGATCAATCCCTTTCAAAGAAAAAATTTAGTTCTTACTTTCATTTATTTATGCCATTATTGCTGAATAAAATGCTTTCCGCTTAATACAACTTCTAATAGCCCCTATTCTCTGTCTAAAACTCACCTCTTCACCACATAACTGCATGACTTCATTCTGTTTTTCACCAGACATCCTTAATACTGTACTCCACAGACTCATACTTGCTACATTTTCTATACAGGTTGTCCACTTGAATCCACAGGTATTTCTTCCCAACTAGTTTACCAGTACCTTGAAGACTGGGACTATTTCTAATATTTACTTTTTATTTTTTCACTACACCCAAGCAAAACTATTGTATTGGGCACACTGTAGATAAACAATAAAGTTTATGGTTCATAAGTAGCAAATGAATACATGCACACATATTTAAAAAGCAAACATAAATGTTAAGTATTTTTCTAAATACATGAAGTTACTTTTAGTAATGCAACAAAATAATAAACAAGAAAGACAAAGAGCTATATGAATTAAAAAGTAGGTAATCTCTAAAAAATGGTCCACATAAAGTATGAAGAATAATGTCACTGTCAGATTAGTTTTAGATCTCAGTGCAAAAGGCTTTTTCTGTTAGATATAATTGAAGACTCAAGCCATCCAGTACTTTTTTATTTTCGTCCTAAAGACACTGCCTAAGGATAGAGTAAGTTGTAATTATGTCCTACTTGGTATACTACAGCTACAACCTACTCTATCTTTAGACAATGACTTTTATGCAATTCCTTTTAGAATATATGAAAAGAACCTAGATTATAGCTATTAAAAATATTCTCACTATATAAACACAATTAAACATTCTCTACAGCTTCACATGACACACCCTTTAAGTTTAGCATCAGCATTTATAACATACACCGAATGAGGTGTGTATCTTTTTACAGTGTGTCTTCCTCATTGATATTTAAATTATATGTACCTGCTGAGTAACAAAACTGTTCCCATAAAAGATTGAAAACATAAGAGATGAAATCAGTAAGGTGAAGTCAAATAAAAATGAGCATTTTTTTCTGCTAAAACTCACTTTGCAGCAAAAACAGAAATCAGTGCCTACTAAAGTATGTCTTTTAAAAGAAGATGCTTCTTCACATTAAAAAAGTACCAGAATGACATCAAGTTAAGAAGTATGTATTAGACATGTCTTCTTGGTAATTTCAAACTTTTATAAGTACTACTGCAGGAAGGACACATTTTTAAAAAAATAAATACATGTGATTTTATGTTTCCCAAACATTTTCGCCAGCTGACAGAAACTATTCATGAACATCACTTAAAGGGATTCCACTGATTCCCCTTCACCTTTTCATTAGACTACCAAGAGCTCTCCTCAACAGACTCTTGTGTGTATTTTACCACTGAAAGAAACTCAAAATGATCTAATAGGCAAGTAAACACACTACTTTAAAAGTTTAGGATCAGCAAAGTAATCGTGTGTGTGTGTGTGTGTGTGTGTGTGTGTGTGTGTGTGATATACATACACACAATCTTACAGCAGTATAGTATTGGCTAAAATAAAAGGTTCCAAGTCATATAGCTGAATACTGTAGACTTTTTATGACTCTTCCTCAAAGAAACAACATAACAGATACTGAATTTTCCAATTAAATATGCTCAATAAAATAATATTTTAGTTTCAGTCTATTCTTCCTACATAAGCCACCAAATTTAAACAGTAACTCATAATTCAAGTTCTTCTACAGCACAGGATATACACATGAATTTTACTTACCAAGTCATATATCTGGTTTGCCAGCTGTACTTTCTCATCTGCATCTTCCAAAGCTTTATAATAGTCCTGAATAAAACATCATTTCAAAAATAATTATGAATATGCATGTAAAGACATACAAGTGCAATTTCATTATCACTGTCAGTCATCTTGGTAATAAAATGCTTCCTGGGGTTAGGGTATGGTTGGGGGAGATCAAAAATTACAGACAATGGCCAAGAATTAAAGCAATGTGTTCTGAATTCTTAGAAAAGATTATATATATCTATATATCCCAAGTCTAGTTTTACTAGAAAAAGTTATGTGAGCTAATGAATAATATTTCAAAGAAAATAAAAAGAAGGCTACTAAAGATTTATCTAATCTGTAAAGCACATTCATGTTCTACTCAAAAAAAAATTTTTTTTTTTTGAGACAGGGTCTAGCTATATATTTCAAACTGGCCTCAAATGCACTATGTAGACCAGGGTACCTCGAACTAAGGACAAACCTACTGCCTCAGCCTCCTGAATGCTGGGATCATGGGTATGTACCACCACACCTGGATGAAAGAATTGTTATAAATCCATACCTGTAGAAAAGATTCTAATCTACATACACTTATTATCTAATTGATCTATAATTTCTATTTTAAATTAGACATAAATTCATACAACTTAATGCATACTTTAGATTTCTTGGCAATGGAAAGCAAACTGACTTTTTAAAAAAGGAAACAAAGAAGGCCGCACAGATGGCTCAATAGAATAAGCATTTCCCTGGCAAGTGCAAGAGCCTGAGTTCAATTCCCAGTTGCCAGCTGTACTTTAAAAAATAAAAATAAAAAGCAAAATAAAAAACGAAACAAAGATTCTATGAATTTCCAAGGGCTATCAGACTTTGGAGGTTATACTGGAGTGGTACAACACAAAAAACTTAAGAGTTAAAAGAAATAATCAATGCCTTTGGGATATATATATATATATATATATGTATGATGGCTATATTCACGCACATCTGGGCCTCTAGATATCTTTCAAGGCAGGACTACTTTTCTTTCTTTTTTTTTTTTTTTTTTGGCAGAACCGGGGATTGAACTCAGACCTTTGTGCTTGCCAGGGAAGGGCTTATTCCACTGAGCCATCTCCCCGGTCCCGTGGACTACTTTTCTTAATAAATTGTTTTTTCTACTAACAGAAATGATCTTCCCACCATGTAGTAGAATAAACACCATAACTTCAATTGGTAGGTTCCAAACAATTATATGAGGGTTAATGTAAAAAGGCATTATTTTTTAATGATAACAAGAGATCTCTCCCATGTCAGATAGCTAAAGGGCAAAGCTGTGAACATGCCCACCTTTTACACTGTTCTTCCAAACATACCCTTCTATAGACTACATCCCACTGTCAAAGGAAACTTTGGGCTGGGATCTAACTCCTATTATTATCTGGAAGAGAGCTCTAATTCTTGTAAAACTAATACAAATTCAAAGAATTCTGTTTTTCTAGACCCAATTCATGCACAAATGTTCAGCTTTAAATTGAAAGACTTTAAAAATACTTCCAGTTCTTAAGATTCTGCTTTTCTGTGTGCCTACCAACTAGACTAACTAGAAATACAAAAAGTATGCTCAAAATCTTTTACTGTCCTCCCCAGTTTGTGACCCAAATTATATCTCTAATGGTAAGGCAAGTTAACACATACAACCAGCAAAACAAATGAAAAAGGAGAAGGAAAGTACTTGTTAATAGTCCTTAATGAATAGGTACTCATTATTAAAAATTTTTAAATTACCAGTATCCTTCAATGATTACAAATCCCTACACTTGAAGATAAAAGATAAGACATTGCTGGAGTTCTAAAGATCTACTGATAACTTGTGCTCATTTTGATATCATAAACCAATTTAACTTTGAAGTATCTTTTTCAGAGGGTCCTAATATGTATTGATAAATCATCCAAAGTGTTACACATACTTTTTTGATGGATGCCATCTGTTCTTCTCTCCACTCAGGTTTATTTTTCTTTGCATTCATAAAGAATTCACTGACTCTTTGCTCTAGCTGATCCATTGCATCTGATATAAAAAGTTTCATATTTAGATAATCAAATTCATAAAATATACATGCTTTAACTTGATTAAGAAAAACACCTCACAACATGTACTACTATTTCACTGGCCATTTATAATATAATGCCTTAATTACCTTAGTTTGTTGTTTCGTTATTTCCAATTGTTTTCTAATAATCCAAGTAAAGTCAACAACACATGCTCTATATCAGGTTTTGAATGTGACAAAATACAGTTGCTTGTTGAAAGTACCAGTAGATAACCTCACATTTCTTTTAGTAAGAAAAAGTAACTTAAAAAGATTTTAAATTATTTCAGTATCAAGCACTCCATCATCTTTTATCAAAAATGAAAATAGCTAGTGCAACTCTTTATCCACTTAATGCACTATTTATTCTATGTACAATTTTTCTAAAGGGTCTACCAAGAATTACCTTATTGGACATCAGCTAAAAAATAAAATAAGATGGATCTTGTCATGTAAGTTGAAAAAACCCCTCTTTACTATAGTGTTCTTTTAATGATTTCCAGTACAAACTAAATAGCTTTGTAAAGACCCTGAGAGGGGCTGGGAAGATGGTTCAGCAGAATAAGCACTTGCCTGGCAAGTCCAAGGGCCTGAGTTCAATCTCTTTTTTTTATAGGGAAAAAAAAAAAAAAAAAAAAAAAAAATCCTGCGATAACCTACAGTAAGTTTTTTAAAAAATATTTCTTTTGTTTAAGCATTTTCTGGATCTATTTGGTTAATTCATAATACCACTTAACTAGAAAATTCTACTTATTCTAAAAAAATTAAAGCTTAAAAAAAATCCTGCAATCTGTATAATCTAAATCCATATTACAAAAATTTTTTGTGATAAAAGCTTAAAATGAAAATATTTCTGTAAGTAATTCCTATCGTGTTTCAGGTATCATAATTTTTTTTTTTTTTTTTTTCGGAACCAGGGATTGAACTCAGGCCCTTGCATTTGCCAGGCAAGCACTTATTCTACTGAGCCATATCCCTGGCTGCAGGTATCATAATTCTAATTCATCCATATTTTAAATCCTCAGATGATTTTTATAATGAAAACTCCCCAGAAATGATAATGCAGTCAGTTCAATGAGTAAATTAACAATGTCCTAAGATAAACATAGTTCTGCTTGACAACAAAGTCTATGCTCAGCCCTACAGAGAATACTACCTCAGGAAATCTCAAACTTCAACTCTATTAACATGGATTGGGGCCAGGGAGATGGCTCAGTGGAATAAGCCCTTCCCTGGCAAGTGCAAGGGCCTGAGTTCAATCCCTGGTTCTACCCCAAAAAAACATGGATTGCGAGGTAGCTGGAAAACCTCAGAAGGATAAGATATGATCAAAATATACAATAAGTGCTATAAAAAATTACAGTAAGACTCATTGCAATTACTTCCCCTTTAATATTCTCCTCCTAACTTAAATACACACTTATTCTATCATTCTTACTATTTTCTGAGGCACTCTAGGAAGCCCTCTTTCATGTGTATCTTTGCACTGTGATCAAAAATAAGATGAATTTGTTACCAAGTGCCACCCAACACAAAGGCAGGCCTGTAAAGCAGTTCAGTATGTCTTCACTGGATCTGGGACAGTGGAACTTCTAGCTCTTCCTCAAAGCCAAAATGCCCATGAAATTAAACATTTGGAATCGACACAGGACATCAAAGCAACTACAACTCTTCAACTGAACATACTCATGAAAGAGAACTTACAGAACTTCAGAAAGCAGTAATAATGGTGAGATAAGCATGTTCAAGGTAAAAAGGGAGGGACTGATGGGAGTGTGTGTTTTACTGTAACAAATTTTTAAATTTAAACACCATATTTTTTTTTAAATCACAACCTTACAGAGATTTGCACACTACAACAGGCTGGATGACAAGGTGCCTCAAGAACTTGACATGAGGCCAAGAAACGTATATTCATGAACCAAAGATAGAGAGGAATGAAAATGAACAAGTTCCTAGCTATCTGAAGTGGTTCCTGAGAGAACAAGGCTAATTGTGGGAAAAAGTCATTCAACCACTAAGTTATTAGAAAGAGAACAAAGCTCAGCAGTGGCCAAAATTTTGCTAACAACTGACAAGATTTTGGTAAAATCTTATTTCCCTCACTCCTGAGAAAAAGATCACGCTGCTGACAACTCACGTGTAATTTTCAAACTTTAGTATGCTAAGTTCACGAGAGTCTCTAAATACATAAAGCCTCATCCTTCTATCTTCTCTATCTTAAACCCAAACAAAAATCTAATTTAACAAAATGTATGAATGCGGAAATGGAAGTCGGACACATAAAGCTCAGGTGAAATCTTCTCAACATTTAGACTGATGTCCACTAAAACACACACGATATCTACATATTCAATAAATAAACACAGTTTTTCTTGCACAGTGGCGAAAATGAGAACGGAATTCAGATGCTCTAAAGTCTCCTCTCACAAAAGCCCAAGAAAAGTACCATAGGAGGAAAATCAGCAGCACGATACAGTACTGTGCGATCTTTGTGACAACTCCTTAGGTGACCCAGAGCAGTCAAAGCGCAGACATTAGCTAGCGTCGTGGCAAGCAAGCCCGGGACGCAGCGCGCGCGACGAGCTGGAGAGAACGCGCCGACTTACTCTGCACCTGCAGGTCCATCTCGCGCATCTCCGTGAAGCGGTCCCTCAGGTCCATGGGAAGTTGCTCAATCACTGTCAAAGAGAGTCCATCAGGGGCGGGACCAACGGCAAGCGACGCGCTTACGTCACTGCGTGCATGCGTGCGTGGGGGGGGCCGGCAGCTCACAACGAGGCTGCCAGTTACCGTGAGAGAGAAATATCCCCCGCTTCCCCCCCCTCCCGCCATCCTGCCTGCCCGTCCACTCGCGCTCTTGCCCGCCCGCAGGTCCCACAGGCGGCCGCCGCCAGTGCCAAGCACTCACTTTCCAAATAGTCCTCTAGGTACAACATCGCGGCCCTTAGAGCTGGGGGAACGAAGGGGTCCAGGGGTTTATTTGTGTCACTCGCTGTCGCCGGAGTTTTGTCCCTTCCAATATGGCGCCTCCGCTAGCAGCACCCGCTTGACTCCGGCAAACAAAAAAACAAAAAAAAAAAAATCCACTTTGGCGCCTGACGGCGCTTGCCTCACCGCCGCCCGGAGCTGCCATTGGCTGGCGGGAGCGGTGGCGTCACACGTCCGGTGCTAGTCCCCGCGCCTTTGTGGGAAATGTAGTTTTGTTTCCCAGCCGCGCTGGTAGCCTAGCTGGCGGCTGTGCGCGAGAAGACTACAAAAACCAGAAGCCATCGCGGGCGTGGCGCAACAGAATCAGAAATGCGGTGCCTCTGTTTATTTGTTGATTCTTTGCATAGGGAACGACGGGAGTTGTATGCCCCTGCTAAACACAACTATGAACAACTTTTCACCTGTTCTCTGCTGTGATTCCATGTCCCCGCGTTGTGAGTCGTGAGTTTCAAGGCGCACTCAGAAAATAGTAAAGATTCTAAACGCTAGAATAATCAGCAGAGTTCGAACCATTCAAATTGTTCCCAGGAAAACTCTGTTGGAATTTATTGTCAGTGTTCACTCCGAAAATACGAATGAGACATCTGATTGGGTTCCCTTTAGGCGCAAGGTCCCGAGTTCAATCCCCGGTCCCGCAAAAAGACACACAAACCAAAACAAAGGACAGCATCCCGAGACTGAAATGGCAATGCACTTACCTGATTTAAAAAGGTGCAAGCAGTCCTCTGCAGACGCTTGCAGTGCCATGCTGTTTTCGGTGCATCTTGTAATGTAATTACCATCATACATACATAAACACCCACACCCACGCCTCCCCAAAAGTGGCCAGTCACAATTACTGAAGAGAGCACAAGATCAAATGGTTTGTGCTAGCAATAACAACGTTATGTTGTAAATAGCCTGTATTTAAGGTCTGTAGTCCTGGACAGTGTCTTTTTCTATTTTTTAACTCCTTCCAGTGAATGTTTATCAGTAGTATACTTAATATTTCCCTGCTGGTCTTAATTTTCTTAAAAACTCTTGCCCACGACAAATATCGGGGATTGGTTTTTTTGGGTTTTGTGAATTTTTTTTTTTTTTTCTTCCTATTTCAGTCTCATCTTTGGAACACTGTTCCTTTGAAGATCTGGAAGATATCTTTAAGATTATTTTGACGTGTGTTTCTTTTCGTTTACCTTTTGTGTGTCACTTCTCAAAAGGACATCTTAGTTTTACATCTGTTCTCTTCTAACCCATTTTTAAAATTCCTTGTAGAAGTTAAACAGTTTATATGCTCTTTTAGTAAAATGAACTGCATGCATCTTTATGTGTTATTTCTTTTAAAAGGGAGACTTTTGCTCATGGTGACTGTTTCCTTCTAGACTGATTTTCTAGTCTGAATTCCTGTTTCTGGTGTTGTAAATAGGAGGATTCTTTGAGGCTGAAGTTAAAATTGAGTTTTCTTGGAGAGTATGAATTTGCTTCTGCAAGTTGCTTGGGGACACTATTCACCCTAGGGCTAGATTAAATTCTTCAGTTGAGGTTTATTGTATTGTACAGACAGATTGAATTTGAGCCTCTAAATCAAATGTCTTGGTATAGTTTCTCAGGGGAGACTTTTTCTTCCAACTCCAAGATAGGCTTGTTCTTACTGACCTTTGTGTGTATGAGATTTATTTCTCTCTCACCTTTGCACAGGGAATATAGCTTCTGAGGAACCCAAATTTTGTCACCTTTTATACTATTCCTTTTAACCTGTTCTGGGCTTTACCTTTGATTCTGGCATGCTACACAACCATGAGAGCAGAAGCTCTAGATGTTCAAACTTTGACAATAATTTTAAGAACTTCCCCCTTAGCTCTCACTTACATTTATTTTGCCCTCACACACACATACCTTTTATATCCCCTGTGTGACTTTCTTTAAGTCCTACCAGGTCACAAATATATTTTATTTTTTGTATTTGGTTTTTTTTTTTTCCAGTACCAGGGATCAAACTTGGGACCTTGTGCTTACCAGGTAGGTGCTTAATCCACTGAGCTATGTCCCCAGCCCACTGTATTTCATTTTTTAATCCAGAATGATTAGTTGCTTTCAGCAGGTGCCTGATCTAGAGTAGCTAATCTGTAATTATATCAAAACAGAAATTTCAGTGTAAATACTCCCTGAGCTTCAGGGAGGTAGTATTTCCATATTAAGGAAAATAAAATGATAATTCCTAATTTAGTCAGTATGTATAAACGCCCAAGAGAAACCAAAAATAAGACATATGCGCTGTATACTTTAGTTCATGAACATAACTCTTGCTGTTTGGGTATCTGTAAACATCAGAGAATCCTGCTTGCACACACATGTGATAGTGTCTTACAGTGTTAGGTCATACAGTGAAGTCCCCTTGGCGTGATGCTCTGCCAACACCGAACACTTGTTTCTAGAAATATGCCTAGAATATGCCTCTAGAATATGCCTCTCATATTCATGCTACGCTAGGCTATCTCTGTATTATATTCCTATCTTCCCTATCTTCCCTGATCACAGCTTATTGATTAATCAGAGATAGACCAAAGACAGGCCCACCATCGCATGCAGTCTATTTGCATTTGAAATAGAAGACACAAAGACTGATAGCACTGTGGCGGAGCTGAACTAATAGCAGCGCAATGTTGTCCTCAGGCTGCTGCTGCTGCTGAAAGCTCCCAGAGAAGGTCTAGTGTTGTCCTTGTCTTTTTTGCTGATTTCTCTGTCACTTTGCCTAACAACAGTTGTATAATCTCAAACTTATTTTAATACAGCACCTCTGTTTCCTGGTTTATAAATGGGAAATACTAATAGTAGTTATGTCTCTGTTGTAATGGATTGAAAAATCCTATCACCTATGCAAAACACTTAAATTGCCTGGTAAATGTTATGATTGAATAAATATGAAGGACTTTTACCATCATCACTATTAACATCCTCTGTCCCTCCTGAGTTGTCTGTATTGCGGGGATTCATTTGTGCCCCTGCTTTTTTGAGGGTAGAAACCTCCAGAACTCTAGGATTTTTTTCACCTCCAGGTATGATACTGCACTAGAAAATAAAAGGGAAATGGGTGCAAGCAAGTCTGTGTAAGAGTATTGTGGATGAGACTACTATTGAAGTAGAAGGAGCAGGAATTAGAAAGCAAAATCAAAAGTGAGAGTAAAAATGAGACATCTAGATATAAAGAATAACAAGAATGGGAAGAAGACAAATAACTACTTTCTAGAAATTAGACAAATAACTACTTACTAGGCTCAGTACATGGGGAGGGAACATAGTGAGATGAATGGTGAATTACTGGACAATAAGCTGTCATGCAACCATTCCATTAATATTCAAGACAAAAGGGAATTTAAATTCTTTATAGCGTATGTCCTCTAGGGAAGCCTTACTTGATATCTTAAGATTGTATCTTAAAAGTAAAATCGCCATCTTGAAAATTATAGTAAAAAATTTAATTTTTATTATACATGTGTTAAATTTATGATTTAATTAAATTGTATTATTATCTAAATTGTAAATGAAGGTGTTTTTAACTTTATACCTTTAACATCTATCTAGTCATTTTCTGGGTCAGTTATAACCTGCCTCAATTTTCCCTTTACACACAGGTGGATATTTTCAGCTTTTGCTTCTCCTAGTGCCTCACAGGAGGAACAGTTGTTTGGTTGGTTTTTGGCTCACGGTTTGTGGAGGTTTCATTCCACTGTTGGCTGACTCCAAGACTCCAGTATGGCAGTCGGAGGGGAAAGATGGGGAGGGGAGGAAGCTCCTGACCACTCCCCCGGAGACCCACCTCCTCCACATGCTTCACCTCCCAACATCACGTTTGGCTATAAACTCATCAGTGGACTAGTCTGACCAAGATCCAATCAGCTCAAAAGCCCTGTCTATGAGTGCCTGAGGAGACATTGAGGGGACATCTGGGGTATAAAGAATAACGAGAATGGGAAGAAGACCAATAACTAATGCAGGAAAGTGTAGGGGTTTGCACTGTGCAGGCTCAGTAGATGGGGAGGGAACATAGTGAGATAAATGGTGAATTACTGGATAAGAAGCTGCCATGCAACCATTCCATCAATTAAAAAAAAAATAATCCTGTGTGAGATACATAAGAAAAACACTTGAAACTAAGAGAATCAGTTCCCTAGATGACAAAGAATAAAGTCAAATTTGAAAAGTACACAAGGACAGCAGCTGGAATTTCTTAAATTGTTGGCCCTAACGATTGAGAACTTGTTTTTGTTTTTGTTTTTAGACTTTCATAGTGCTGAAAATAGGACACAGGGCTTGCATATATGCTAAGCACGCACAGAACTATTGAGTCACATCCCTAGCCTCGAAGTTCTAATTGTGTGGAGTGAAAATACTACAAACCTATCCTGTGCTTTTAAGAAGCTAATGGTTAACCATCTGGAAATTAGCCAGTAATCCCAAAGACCTACTCCTGCAAACATATCTGGGCAAACAAGCAAGAGCTTGCTATACATCCACTTGAGACCATGGGTCCAAATCAGTGAAGAGGAATTCAGTCCTTAAATCTGCACCACACTTTGTTGCGCATGAAATCCGTATTCAGACTTCTCACAGAGTACCAAAATAGTAAAAACTGACCTGGCTTGGTGGATTTGCTTTGCTTTATTATAATTAAATGCCCAAGGCAACTAACTTTACAAAGAGTACAGGTTTATTTAATTCATAGTTTAGAAGGTCAAAATACAAAATGGGGTTCAGATGGTTTTCACCTCTGGTGAAACTGGCATAAAACAATGGCCTAAGCGGGTATTTAAATTAGTAATCATGTCTTGAACTGGACAGAATGAAAAATTAGAACTTTGCAGTCTCCTTAGAGGTTGGTCAGCATCTCCAGTGACCTAAGGACCTCTCACTAGGCCCCACTTGTTAAATGCCCACAGTTCCTACCAATGACACCACTCTGCAGACCAGTTCTTTAGTATAAAGAATCCTTGGGTGAACCCTAGGATCACACTCAAACCATAGTATCTAGTAAACAGGAACACCCACAGGAGGCAAATACAGTATGATAGTTCCTATTAAGATTACTCCTCACCCAATGACACAA